GACGCCAAACTTGCCGAAAACTAAATTTTATTGTCTAAATGCTTATGTTATTATTAAGAGGAAAGACCAAAGTTTTTTTTTAATTATTTTTAAAAAATTTCCTTCTTTTTAGAACATTCTAAATTTTGATTAAAAAAACCTTTTTTCTATTTGTATCAGCGGAACTAGTAAATAACAAAGACAATTTTTAGCACGTTTTTTTGGTATGACACATTAATTTGAAAAATCGTGCAAAAATAGAAATAATTATCAGATGTTAATGAAACTTTCAGAAACTATTCACAGATGATCGAAATTATTATAAATATGTTTTTTTTATGAAAGTCATGGTAGAAATATTTTTTTAAATATTTATTACCCCCCCCCCCCATAACTAATTTTATGAAAACGCTAGAAATTCGATCGCATCGGTTTTAGTGATTACAATAATTAAAAGCACAGGGCTTTGAGGAATGCAAATCATGTTTTTTTTGTTTTAATTGGATACGCAGTACCTGAAAATCAGCTCTGAATTGTAACATACAAAACTCAATAAAACAAATATATTATTTAATTTCAAATGCTTTTATTTGCTTTTTAGTTGTTTTTATGAATATGGACAATATTTTCTGAAAGCAAAAAAATTTTTTTGATGAAAAATGAATTTTAATACAATTATTTGTTATTTCATTAATTATAATAGATTTTACATTTAAGTTGTTAAAATATTATAAAATTAGTTAAAAGCCGCATCGGCTTTCATACGTGTCCTTATGAGATAGATCTTTTTTTAGCGCGTTGTAAATTGTATCATTTTGACTAATCAGAAGATACCCAGTAATTAAGAAATGTAATTTTGTACTTATAATCGAGCTGTAATTATAAAATACGGAAGACCAACCAGAATATAATTAAGTTGCGTTATTTGAGTTAAGCATTGTTCTCCGCTGTTAAGGCCTTTACTTTTGCGAAACACGTGGAGAAGTTAATTTGATTTTTCAATTTCAACTGAGAAGGGTACCTACAAGTATCAGTATCATCTTATGAAATTTATATGATCTTATTTTTATATTAATCTCAGTTACGACATTTTTCCATAAATGAAATATCAAAATTAATAATAAAATGAATGCAAATACAAATAACAGCAGAATGTAATAAATGTACATAAAATTATAGTATTTTATGTACAATTCTGATAAAATTTCATAAGAAAGGTACCTATAAATTAATTAGATACCTTTCTTAAGAAATATGAAATTTAATGTCACTCTTAACAGTTTTATTTTAATTTCTTTTTACAATATATTTCCCATAAAGCATCATAAACGTAAAGGTGAAAGCTAAGTACAAAAAAAAAAAAAATTAGACCGCTGAAAGTTTTCGTTAAAAATAACGGGGTAAATAATTTGTTCACGTAAATGTAAATTATTTCACTTTTCTCCTTCCGTAGAACAAATTAGCCTCATGGAATTCGTAAGTATATCATTCATCACATGTCAAGAGACGCGAAAGTTTATGACCTGCTTTGTTTTATTTTCAAATTATATCTTTTTGGCACAAAAGCTAAGTTAAGTTTGGTTCAAAATATTTTAAATAAACATTATAATTTCTGATTTTCTTAAAATAAGTTTTGAAAAAAATGATAATTGATATTTTAAAAATTTCAAAGTCAGATTTCCAGTTTTTTTTTAAATGGAAAAATGGTCAATTTTGCTGACTCAAAAAAACTAGATTTTAACGAAAATTTCGGACGTGATAGGAACGATTAAAAAATGGAAAAAAATACCCCAAAAATACTTTGGCCTTTCCTCTTAATAATAAACATTTTGTTTTCGTCAAGTTTGGCGTCTTTTTCATCATGCTATGCTCTTTTTTTAGCGATCTCGTGGAGGTACCTAGGTTAACTGGGACAGGAAATGGCTTGTAAATTTTAGTGCCTACCAAACGAAATTGTTCACATTTAACCACCATAGAGAAACTTCCCTGCCTGCCATCAGCATGGCTGATGCTAGACTCCTGGAGAGTGTCACACGGCGTCTTCTTGGTCTCACATTTTCAACTGACTTGAAGTGGAACGACTACATTGAATCAATAGCTGCATCTACTTCAAGAATGTTAGTTCATTGTGTCGTACCAGAAAGTTTTTCTCGTCACTCTTGGACATTTACAAATCTACCATTCGGCCATGAATTGAATACTGTTGCCATATCTGGTCTGGTGCTCCTATTATTCATCTTGAGGTTCTTGACAAAATCCAAAGAATGATCTGCAATGTAATCGATCCTGACTTAGCATCTCTACTTCAGTCACTTTCTCACATCCTCCTGTCTTTTCTACAAATATTTTCACGGCAACTGTTCTACCGAGCTTTTTCCACTCTGATTCTCCGACTATATGATTTAAACCGTGGTACTAGATTAGCATTTGGGTTCCATGCTTTTACTGCTGAAACAGTTAAAAGGTAACCGCCACTTCTACTACAATAGTTTCTTTTCTCGCACTTCCCGCCAGTGGAACTCACTTCCGTTTACTTTCTTCCCTGATAACTACAATCTTCAAAAATTTAAATGCAACGTCAATCGCCATCTTCTATCGTCTTGAACCCCATTCATATTTTATCCTTTCCTTAAACCCCACCCCTATGCCCAGTCTTTTCTGTCACTTTCACTCTCTGTAACCCCCTGCGTGTTAGTAGAATTTCTGTCTTGCTTGTTGGGGGAAATGATTAAAAAAAAAAATTTAAAAAAAAATAGACATTTTCTTATTTTATATATTTTTGATACTAAAGTTGATCCAACACAAAGCTAGAAACCTAGTCAAGATAGAGGGTTACGGTTAAGATGGTTTTGAGGAATGAACTGCAGGATATGAATGAAAGAGGAGAGTACAAGACAAGGACTATAGATAACGGTTGATTTGAAGAAGTTAAAATTACAGTGTTCAGAAAAGTAAAGGAGTCTGTTCTACAAAGTAGCAGTTCTTAAGAAAAAGCGGTCTGAATGAAAGTTTCTCTTTACATTTGGAATACGGAAGAAATGAGTGATTCAGTTCCATGGAAGTAGCATGGAGTGTTCTAGCTGAAAGAACAAGTATTCCACTTAAATGCGAAATTCATAAAATCCGACTGCCTTAAGTAAATTTCCATATTTTTCTTTGAGTTTTGTGAATTGAAACAGTCAAGCTGCCGTTTCAAATCAAGCTTACATTGAGCCCTGGAATAGAATTCTTACCATATAATTCTGACTTGGCTAAAAAAAATAAAAGTTTATTTTCATTCGATTGACTAACAGTAAATAATGCTCAGTAGTACTCTAATTTGGAGAAACAGACAGAACAAGTTCAGAATTATGGATGCGTAAAATTTGTTTACTCATCGCTTCTTTAGTGAAGGTGCGCCAGTGAAAACAATTAATCAGTATAAAAAAAAATGACTCATTTTGTTACAGTCAATAAACAAGAGAAATTTTGGTAATTTTTATATAAAGATGCATGGCAATAATGATTATCAACTTGGAAAAATAAAGTAGGTTATTAGTTTTCAGTTTTTAGTTCGGGACCATTAAAATATCTTCAAATGTGACATTGCCAGTCGTCATTGGTAAATCCCAAGGTTCGCAATTTGAGTATTTCCCTAATATTTATGTTGTGCAACCAAGTAATAGTTTATGATATTTGAGTTATTTAAATCGATCAGATGGATGTTGTATCTAGCAAGTGAAAAGTATGGGCTTGGAAACTTAAAAATGTATTTCACGTTTGTAATAAATGTTGAGTCAAAAACATGCACCAATTTTGTTATTCATTTCGTTTGTTTTAGACGAGACAGGAGTAATGTCTTAACAGGGAAAGATACGATGATTAGTTAAATCTGAATAGAAACTATTTTCAGCTTCCTTTACTCAGACGTAATGGTTCATCAAAGCAGCTTTTTACTTATTATACTACGGCGAAGCGCTTCCAACTACTTTTAAATATTTGTTAGTTAAGGTCTTTCCTCCAAACAAAAGGTTATCAATGCCAGAGACTAATGGATCCCTAAGAAAATAAAATTTCGTTGTTTTAATCTTATTTTATAATAACTCATTAAAACGCTATTTTTTTTTATATTATAAAGTGCAGTTCCTATAACATAACATTAGTTAGAATTTGAACTTTTCATTTCTTAAAGCCGTTTTCTCCAAGAGTTACTTTCTTGTTGTATCTTTCAATCAGAGAGTTTTTGCTCACCTATCGCTCTTGTCTGTCTAGACAAAAAAGAAAAAAATTCTCCCACCCATCACATTGCACTAGATTGTACGGTCAGTGGCGTATTGCACTCAGGTATACGGTCAGTGGCACAACTCAATGACTGCGGTAAAAGGCCGGTTGAACTGGTCAATTTGTACAAACAAGTTGTAGTTATCCCACTTTAAAAACAACATATCACATGAGTGGACAAACTGACATGGACATATTTCTGCCCAGCGATCATTTTATACATAAGAAAGGTGCTAAAAAGTTATTGACTCAATCCACTTCTCAAAATTTTATTTTGAAGCGATTCCTTGTCTGCACGAGAAAATTTCACTAATCCTTCATATACTAAACGGTGACAATTGTCAAGAAAACTAAACTCTGAGAAAAATATTGCTAATACAGAAACCAGTTGGTAAACAGTTGAGGAGAGAGTATCGAGAACATGTTTACTTTTTCTTTTTTCTTTTTTTCCTTTTAAATATAATTTAGGAGATAAAATAATTCGACTCGAACTCCTTAGAAAAATATAAATTATTGAGTTGCGTAAACAAAAAAAAAAATAAACTTCATTCTAAATTCCTGAAAATTATTTCTGCCACAGAACCAATCTCATTCATTATTAACAAAGAACAACGATGTTGTGTGTTTATCTTCTGTCTGTCTTCGATCTTGTGATTACTGTTTGACTAATTATAACTTATGAAGAAAATGACAAAAATGCTTTTATAAAACTATTCTTTTTAATTGTTTTTAAATTATTGTATTTTTTTGGTTGTTTACAGATCTTTGCTTCAAAGGAAACCCGGCGGTTCGGTATACAGTTATTCAGCAGCATCATCAGCCAGGGCAAAAATACAACGCTCTCAAAATGGTATGTGAAATTATCATTGTTATATCATTGTTGTTGTGTTACTGTTATATTATTGCAAAGATTATTTTCTACACTAAATAAAGGCGTGTAAAAGTTTAAAAAAAAAAAAAAAAAACACGACTCTACAGTTACAAGTTATATTTGCCTATATAAAAAAAACTCAAGATTTATTAAAAATATGAAAAAATAAATTATCCCATTTAATGACAATATTCAAATTTTCAATTAAACAAATATATACTTATAAACCTTTAGCCACTGACAGTTTTTCAATATCCAACATTTCTTAATATATACATTTTTGGCGCAAAATATTGTCTTTTATGAAAGTCTTGAATATATCTTTTAATCAAACCTATTTAATTTCTGCCTAAATTTCTCGAATAAAGAGTTAGTTACATGTGGAGGAGTTTCCTCATCTTTGTTGATATCATCACAGCCTTTTGCCTACTGTGACTCCGAGACAATAGTCACGTAAGCTAAAGCGTTGGTTCGTGAATTTGGTGACAAATTTGTGCTCAATCTTCGTACTGGACATTGTGTATTTGAACTCCTTAGAAATGGAGTGAGTAATAAACTGAGCTTATTTATAAGAACAAGACGAGATAAACATGGTTAGCGGGATCAGAACAATCTACCTCCGTAAATAAAAGGTTCAGTTCGAAATTCCCTGAAGTTTACCCGGATCGACAAGCACTTCATGAAGGCCGGATAGCACAACGGCTGAAACGTGATAATAAAGACGAGAACAATAGTCTACATGTAAATAAGCCTCTAGACTATAAAAATTATAATTTTTCTGAATTACTAAATATATAATTTAGTGTTACATTTTAAAAATGCATGGCGAAATTTCCATCTGTCCGATAAGTGAAATTTGAATACTAATTAAAGAAAAGAAAAGCATCTTTAAAAATCCTTCACAGAAATCCTAAATAATTATAATTCTTATGAATCTTTTCCATTTATGTACATTAAAGATGGATGCTTTTGTCTCACGGTTTTAAAAGCCAGCACTTTATTTAATAGTACATTGTAAAATCTTACCAGTGTTCCAAAAAGTAAATAAAAGCCAAATGTGCAGTTATAATGACTATTTATCTGCATTTTGATAACGTGTACGTTTTTTTTTTTGTTTGTATTGCAGTTCGTAAACCAGACAGAGTTGAAGTACCTAAAGATGGAAATCTGAGCGGGCTTTCTTGCAGAGACATTTGCTCTGTATTAAGTTGCATGAATTTTAATCCGTCGATAATTGCTCGAATCAAAAACCACAGAATAAACGGCAAATCATTTGCTAAACTCACAGACGATGACCTGAGAGACTTAGGAATCTACAATCCTGTTATTCAACACTTTCGGAATAAGAGCAAACGAAAACATGGCATATTTATGTTATGATAGAAAAACTCTAAAAGGGCCAGAAAACGTTCAAATCAAAACATATTCCTTGTTCTTTCTGTCTTTAATACGAGACCGTGGAAAGTGTTAAGCAAAATAAACTAAGTTTATATTGTGTAAAGCATCAATGTTCACAAAATTACAGAAACCACACCACTTGAAGACTCTTCACAACAGCCACAAATAAAATGCATAGTATATGTAACCCGAAGAGAGAATAACAATATAATGAAGATGCTGACATCCCACACTATTTCGAACAAATTTTTAGGAAGCCTCCATCAATAATAAAAAGTAATAACAGTTACTGGACTTGATTTTCCTAAAAAATAGTTTTAGAGATTTTATAAATTTCAATTGACTGTAGCACTGTTTGCTCAGTCAATTAATGCAGAATAATAATTTATAAAGAAACGGCTATTTTTGCCACTACCAATCTTTCACCTCAATTTTTAGATTTTCAAAGACAGACATTTTTTCAGGATATAAAAAAGGAAGTTTCAACTTCCATTATTTTGAAAACTCGGGTACATATTGTTCAAGTTTCAAAACTTTGTTTCAGTGCTATAAATTCGTTTCTTCAGAATTTGTTACAAAAGAACCATAATGTTACAGATATTAGTTCTTTCTACAGAACTTGAAAGAGAAAAATAATTCAGACTTTCATTTATGAAATTATAGTCTTTAATTCCAATATAGAAATTGTTATAAGAAAAAGAAGCTATAAAATCTAAAATAAAAATATTTGGATACGACAACAGATCCAGATTTGGTGACAAGAGGAACTGAACTATGCTTTATTTAAGCAGAGACGTAGTTAAATTTTACTAAATATTTGGATAAAGAATTTAAAAAAATTAAGTCAAATAATCCTATAGTTATAAATTAACCTTAAAAGATTTTTTTTTTTTTAGGATGTCTTAATTTTTATAATTATCTTTATTGGTTCTGTGGTAATTTTTTTTTAATTCTCAATTTTTTGTCAATTCTCCTGCTAAAAAAAAGTCATCTCTTCGAGACAAGAGAATAAAATTCACTATTTACACAGAAAGAGAATCCAAACAAGTATTTGTTTTTGCTATATATATATATATATATATATATATATATATGTATGTGTGTGTGTGTGTGTGTGAAAACTTGAAACGTTCAAAACTTGGGGCGGAAGGAGGACTTTTTTTTCTCATTATCCTAAAATAAATCAATGACTTAAACGGCCTTCACATTGTTTCATTAACGACAACAACCTGCTGAGACTGAATAATTTTTTTCACGCTGCGATAAGAGAAAATTGTAACTTCCCATATTTACATATGGTAGAGGAGGTGCGGGTAAGAGAATTGATTTCTATATTACAATTAAGAATTTCCCACCATGAATAAATTAATTGAAATATAAATATAAAGAAAATAAAATCACGCGAGAGGCACTTTAGCTCCACTTGGAAGTGTGGAGTTAGGATAAATTTGTCTTAATCGGTGTCGGGTGGAGACAGAAAAAAATACAATGTTCGGGTAAAACGTTTGTAGTTATCCAGGGAATGTATGCTAATTGGCACCGTTTTTTAATCTCTTTGGCTTATTCACTCATCTCGCAGTTAGATAACAAGATCAAATTCTCCAGCGATACAAGAATATTTTAACTACTTTTCTTCCATTTTTCCACATCCCTTCTTCGGCTCTTTAACATTCCCCTATATCAAAATTTTGTATGAACGCAACTTAACAGTTGTTTTAGATAGGCTTCGTTTGATTGGCAGAAGTTCTTAATTGTAAATATAAAACCCCTAAACCGTTTTCTTCATTATCCTTAATACAAGATGATAAATACTTATCATTTTGAGGTTTAGTTTATGTCATTTAAACTTTATTTTGATGCCCTTCTAAGAAAATAAATATCTAGAGCTAAAAGATAACCAGGTCGTTTTTATCAATAGTTAGCCATCAAAGTAAGTTCGCATTGGCCTACATTTGTTTTCTTTTGAATAAACCTTTGATAAATATACTTTCTTTGCCGGTAAACATTAGTGACTCATCATTTTAAAATGCTTCTCCTCATTATTTTTTTTATTTTTTATGAAAGCGAATATCAAATGACCTGATAAGAAAAAAAGTGACTACTCAAGTGTCGCATATTATAACATCATTTTAAATATAGCGGTCATGTTCATAAAAATAAATAAGAATTAATTATAGTTTCAACAATAATAAAATAATTATAAAAATTATAGTTACCATTAATTCACTCTTTCTGAACTAATGAGAATCGACGGCACGTTTCTCCTCTACACACAAACACGTGACATTCTCACTATCGAACACGCAATCAACACGGACAGGCCGTCAATATGTGCGTCAACGAAAATTTCGGCTTTTCCTTTTTCAGGCCATAATAGCGACATTTATCTTACCGTACGAGAAAGACTATAAACTTTACTTATTCTTTACCTTACTGTCGGACTGATCCATATTTGATTTACATTTGACTCCAAACACACGATTTTACTCAGTATTAGTTTCTTATGCTTAATCTCCAACACCATATAAAAATCAGATAATAAATAATATTCGTTTTGTTGTTTCCATATCTTGCCGTTTCTCATTTTTACGAGTATTTATGTAAATATATAATGTATACGGGGGTTTATAATAATTTACTCAGTTATGTCTCCTCTACAAAACTGTGTGTTAAAGGGACAATTTTCCATTAACACAGCTATTATTTTAACAACCTTCCATCCTTGGCCATATTGTTTTAAAAAGCGATGATTAGAATTATAATAAAATCTAAACATGATGAAAATGAATTTACACAGGGTGTAATGGATAAATTGCCGTCTAAATTACGCAAAAATGAAAATAATATTGACGTCTCATTATAAAATTTATATTTACCAAATTTACACAAAAATATCTTGAAATACCAAAATCACCATTGGCTTCAACCACAATCTCCAGACGACTTTGGAATTATCTGCAACTCTTCTTGACGATCTCCTTCCTTGGTTGGTGAATGCTGTTATAATTCTTGCCTTCAGTTCCTCTTTGATGTTACAAGTATTGTTGGTCTCTCGCGCAACTGCGCCCCACACATAATAATCAAGGGTGTTGCTGTCTGGGGAGTTAGGTAGCCAGATGTAAAGGGGTGATGTGGTCGCAGAAATTATCTGACAGCCATGACTAGGTTCTCCCGTTTGTGTGGCATGGTGCAGAGTCCTGTTGCCAAACATCGGGTCTTCCAGCAGTCACCCTCTTGACCCAGGGCAGCACTACCTCCTCAAGGCACTTGATGTAGGTGTACGTGTTGAGTCTATGGCAAGATGAATGGATGCATAACATCGCCATAACTAGTGATCACTCCAAACACCATGATGTTGACTGGATATATCATCCAGCTATTCCGGATTCTCTGCACTGTCCTCAGATTGACACCCAAACACTCTGAAATGTTCGTATTAAAGCGTCTGATGCAAATGCCAAGCAGTAGAGCATGCCGTTCCGAATTTCTTATGGAGGGAATTGCGTCATGGTGCTTTTTTCTTTCTTTTTTTTTTTTCTTTCTTTCTTTCTCACAGACAATTCACAAGTGACCCTACTATACTGTGCAGTCAACAAAACCAAAACACAACGCGCATGCGCGAAATTAAAAATATAAAATTCCGATAATTTACCCATCGCACACTATATTTTTTGTTCTTCAGAATTTACGACAAAAATATTAAACATTATTTGTTAGATCATTTACAAGAATAATTTTATTTACATCATTCTAAAAACTAATGTAATACAATATTTATAATTTACCCATTTATAAAGAAATAAATATGGACACATGTTTTATTCATAAACTTATAAACCTTTACTAAATTATTAAAATATGTAAAATCTTTACTATTTTATAAAGTTCAAATAAATTTGCAGTTAGCCAATGTTTTGCAATTCATTCCAATAAGCAATATATTAAATTGTTTATTATTTTTGTTATCAATTCTCAAGAACAAAATGTATAAATTCACTTCCATGTGTTTAGGCTTTATTACACTTAATTGCTTTTTAAAACAAACATTGCCGAGGAGTGAAGGCAATTAAAATAATAGCGGTGTCAAGGGAAAAACCATCCTTTTAATACTGTTTTTGCGGTCATAAAATTACAAGTTTGGCAAATTATCTTATACGAGTTAAGAGTAATCGATAGTCACAATGTGTTTTTATAGACTGATAAATAAACATTTACGAAGCTTTGCTTAGTCTAGCACACGATCATAATGAAAGAACACTCTGTAGAGATCAAATTCACTACACACGAAATAAAAATGTCTACACCTATAATTAAAAGTTTACCTGACATATCACAATTTAAGTATTCTTCAAGTGGAGAGATGGGTAAACATTGAGTGAAAGGTGATGAATGTTGCTGTAGATATGAGAGTAAAAAAGACTAGATTTCTCACAAGTGAGAAAATACAAAATATATACAAAATAAGTATTCTGGTACTTACATGCATATATCCTCTAAGACAAGGAAACCCGAACTAATAATATTTCTTGACAATGGTTTCTGGGTTAGTCACACCGTTTATTTAGCAGACAAATTCTTCGGAATACCAGTACAAATGAAAAGGAGGCTCTGTCAAACTAAAATGTGAACGTTACCAAAACTGTAGGTGCAAAACAAAGCAAACACACCAAAGATAAATATATTTAGAGTTTATTTGTGAGACTGATCCCTTGTTTAAGACTAGCGAAATTTACAAAAAAGACATAAATGAAAAACTGAAGGGTCGGATGTATTTGCTACTCACAATTTAAATATCTTAATACTAAGGCAAGAGAAACAGAAGAAAACGTAGAGTAACGTACTTGAGTGAATAGATGACAAAACAACGCTCATAAATACAAAGAGGCGTGGTAAAGAGACAAGAGTTACTTAGAGCAAAAGAAACAGGAAATTATGGAAAACTATGGTAGCCCACATCCTGAAAAGACATAATCGGAAAGACG